TAAGAGGGCATTAAATTTAAAGCTCGGGTGATTGCACGAGGCTTCTCGCAGAGGGAAGGAGTTGACTACAATGAGATTTTCTCACCAGTGGTCAAACATACTTCGATCAGGGTGCTACTAGCAATATTGACGCATTATGACTTGGAGCTCGAGCAGCTAGACGTGAAGACAACTTTTCTACATGGAGAGTTGGAGGAAGAAATTTATATGACTCAGCCAGAAGGATTCCAGGTTCCAAGAAAGGAAGACTGTTTGTAAGCTAAAAAAGTCCTTGTATGGACTTAAGCAATCTCTGAGGCAGTGGTACAAGAGATTTGACAGTTACATGCTTGAGCTGGGCTACAACAGAAGTCCATATGATTGTTGTGTATATCACAGTAAGCCAGAGGATGGTTCGATGATATATCTAGTTCTATATGTGGTTGATATGCTCATAGTTGCGAGGTCGAAGTATGATATCCAGAAGTTAAAGGGGCTTCTCAATGCTGAGTTTGAGATGAAGGATTTGGAGTTGCTCAGAAGATCTTGGGTATGGAGATTTACAGGGACAGGTCGAAGAAGAAGCTTTTCTTGTCACAAAAGAGCTGCATCCAAAAGATACTGTCGAGGTTTGGCATGTCTTCAGCAAAGCCCTTAAATACTCCTAGTGCCTCAAATATTTATCTATCCTCAGCTTATGCACCGCAATCAGAGGTTGAGAAGGAGTACATGTTGAGAGTCCCATATGCTAGTGCAGTAGGTAGCTTGATGTACGCTATGGTATGCACTAGACCTAATCTTGTACATGCTGTTAGTGTTGTCAGCAGGTTCATGATACAACCTGGGAAGGAGCATTGGCAGGCTGTGAAGAGAATCTTCCGGTACCTTAAGGGCAAACCTGATGTGAGGATTAGCTAGCGATACAGAGTGCTTGGTGTTTGTGTATTTTGACTCGGACTATGCTGGAGATGTTGACACGAGGAGATCGATGACCAGTTATGTATCCACTATTGAGAGTGTAGTGAGTTGGAAGGCAACTTTGCAGTCGGCGATGGCATTGTCTACTACTAAGGCAAATTATATGGCATTGACAGAAGCTGCTAAGGAGGGAATATGGTTGAAGGGACTGGTTGGTGATCTGGGTCTACATCATAATCAGGCAGTGTTGTACTGCGACAGTTTGAGTGCAATATGCTTGGCCAAGGATCAAGTCCACCATGAGAGGACTAAGCACATCGACGTGAGGTATCATTTCTTGAGGACAGAGAAGAGGATTAATCTGAAGAAGTTTGGCACCGCGGATAATCCTGCTGATATGTTCACGAAGCCGGTTCCACATGGCAAGTTCCAACACTGCTTGGACTTGTTGAATGTCTTGAGTGGGTGACTCCGCCCTACGGGGCATTGATGGCGGGAGAGAGAGAAGGAGCAAAGTACATTAGAAATTTAAGAGGAAGAGGATTCAAGTCAAGCTGGAGATTTGTTGATTTGACTTGAATCGGAATATCAGTCGCTACGACTGGAATATTCGGGGGTCTCGCTGCCATGTAAATCTTGTGTCGTGTTTTTGATTCTTGCTTTCGTATTCTTGTTTTGTCGATTCCAGCAATTTCCCAATCTGTAGCAGTGAGTTTATAACAACTTAAGTTCCTAGTCTAAGGATAATTAGGGTTACATTATGTCGGTAACCTTATGTATATATTCCACTCAGTGTACTTTGTAAAAACTAAGCTGAATAAGATTGACTCTAAGACTAGTCCAGATTATTAGGTAACCCACGTAAAATCTGGTGTTCCTGTTCTTGTTTTCTGAGTTCTAATCATGGTATCAGAGCCTTTTGTCTAAAGGTTCTTGACTGTTCTTTGTTATCTCAGCTGGTCTCTGTTGTCTCGGCTGCTTCTATAATATCTCTCTCGCCTTCTTTAGGTTATGGGCTGCAGAGTTTTGCACTTGTTCGATCTTTGGAGACTTGGCACCATTACTTGGGGCCAAAGGTGTTTGTTATCCATACTAAGCACGAGTCTCTCAAATATTTGAAGGCCCAAAACAAGTTGAAAGAGAGGCATGCTTTTTGGGTTGAGTTTATCGTGTTCTTTCTATACGAGATAAAGTATAAATAAGGAAAGGAGAATGTGGTTGTTGATGCTTTATCACGAAGGCATAATTTGATCACAACCATGGATGCTAAGTACATTGGTTTCGAACAAATCAAGGGGCTCTATGAAGGGGGTTTTAATTCTGGAGAGATCTAAAAGTCATGTGAGCAGCATGGAGAAGGAAGGTTCTATAGGAGTGATGACTATCTATTTAGTGGTAACCAATTGTGTGTTCCAAGAACATCACTTTGAGAACTATTGTTGAAGGAAGCTCATGGAGAAGGATTAATGGCTCACTTTGGTGTAGCCAAGATGTTAAGTTGCTTACAAGAGCACTTTTATAGGCCTCACATATGGAGAATTTGTGTGCAAGATTTGTGGAGTGTCAATAAGCCAAATTGACGGTGCAACCAACTAGAATGTACACACCTATTCCTATATCAATGCAGCATGGATCAACATATCAATGTATTTTATGCTTGGATTGTCGAGAACAAGGAGAGGCAAAAATTCAATCTTTGTGGTGGTGGATCGGTTTTCAAAGACAGCACAGTGGGGACAAAGCTATTATTTTCTACGACTTGTCATCCTTGAAGTGGTGAATCATACTCTATCCCAAATGCTTCGAGCAGTCATCAAGATTTGGGAAGACTGTCTACCTCACGTGGAGTTTGCCTACAATAGAATAGTGCACTCGACAACAAAGTACTCACCTTTTGAGCTCATGTATGGTTTCAATCCACTTACACCCTTGGACTTGATTCCATTACCATTAAAGGAGCATGTTAACATGGATGGAGCAAAGAAGGCCGAGTTTGTGAAGAATCTTCATGAGAATGGAAGGTTGAACATTGGGAGTAGAACAAAGCTAATCATGAAGAATGTCAACAAGTATAGGAAGCCTCAAAATTTCAAATCTAGAGATTGGGTGTGAGTACATATGAAAAAAGAGAGATTTACACATAAAAGGAGATCCAAACTGCTACCTCAAAGTGAAGGTCCCCTCCAAGTGATTTTGAAGGTCGGGAGTAATGTCTATAAGATTACTTACCAGGAGCGTATGGGATAAGTGCAACCTTCAATATTTCTTATCTTGCACCATATCTGGATGGTAATTCGGATTTGAGGGAAAATCTTTTCAAGAGGGAGGGACTGATGAGGTCATCAAGACCAAGAATACCACACCAAAAGAAGGCCCACTTACACGTTCAATGGCCAAGAAGTTAAGGGAATAATTCATAAACTACTTGAGCAACTACTTTGCAAGTATGTATGTGGATCAACTCAAAGGGAGGCATATAATGTTGTTGCAATTCGTGGAAGGCTTGGAAGAAGGTGGAGGATTGCAGGAAGGGCTTTGATAAGGCCTTAGCCCAACATGATTACCATTTCCTTAGCCTAGAAGGAAGTTAGTTGTTTATCAAATCCTTTTTGGATTAGAGCTGGTAATTTTCAGATTTATTTGTTTTCTTTCTTGTTATTTAGATTTCCTTGTTAGTTTTGGATTTAGATTATGTAGCCTACTTAAAGGGGCTGAATTTCATTGTAAGAACATCAAGTTTTCATCAATCAATTGAAGGGTTAATTCTCGTGTTCCTTAGTGAATGTTTTGCCCAAATCTCTAGTCAAGAGTTCAGGATTTTGCGTGTCTCTTGTCAACTAGAAGATCATATCTAACTGTAGCGAGTTCTTCCCAAATAGGTTTACCCTTCTCACAAGTTGAGATTCTTTAATCGATTTCCCCCTTAAATACTTTGGTTTGAGTTAAGCAACATGAAGATCAAAGTTGGTTGCGTATTTTGGTAACCTTTGAATCCACAAGTTCAAGCCTCGATTCATATCATAGTTTCTGTCGAACCATATGGCAATCAAGCTCCATATGCTTGGTCCTCTAATAAAATGAAGGATTCTCAACAATATAAATTGTTGATTGATTGTCACACTAGAGGCTAACACGTTGGGGATGAGAAAGCTTGAAGTCTTGGAGCAGATATAGGAGCCATTGGACCTCACATGTGTTGTAAGCTAATGCACGATATTAGGCTTCACAAGAAGAATAAGAAACATTGGTTTGTTTATTATATTTCCTGGAAATGAGAGAAACTCCAAGAAAAACACAATAACTAGTGATGGATTTACGTGTGTCTGGACAAGCACCCCAACTAGAATTGCTGAAGGCTTTGAGGGTTCGTTTGGATGAGTGATTTGGACATGTGGTATTGTAGACCTAAAGAACTAACTTTTCGGCTTTCTGGTATTTGTGTGTGATTTTTGCAATTTTAATGAAAAAATGTGTTGTTTGGATGGAAAATAGATGAGTTATTCTATGTGTGTTAATTGGTACACGAAATCGAGAAAATACAACTATGCCCTCAATTCTATAAACAGATAGCTGGAACCATTTTTTTTAGGAAACCATTCATCCTAATAACCAAAACAGATTATACACAGGCCCCCTTATGTATATTCTCCATAATCCTACATGGAACACAATCTGTCCACTAAAATTCACAAGAGTTAAAGGAATTATATGGGCAATTTCATGAGCCTCAATATTGGATTCACGATAAGCGAAGCACTATTCTTGTACTCCTAGCTGCTCACAAGGTGCTGCAATATCATTGCATATTGTACTCCTTAGGCCGAACAAGACAACCCCTTCCTTCAGCAACTTCTATGCTCCAATCCTCAGCTCCAGTTATGGTCGTTGCCATAACCATCTTCCCATTCCATCCTCGAACTCCATAACCTAGACTAACCTCACCCCTACGTAGACAATTTCAGCTTGTGATTAGTGAGATCCATGAGAACGCATAGACAATTCCAACCCTGAAAAAACCAAAAAAAAAAAAAGCACCAATACTAACCAATAATTCACGACATGCAGAAGCAAAAATTTACTCAATCGAAACATGCAATCCCAACATGAAAATCCCAGATTCCTCAACCCAGAACCCTCAATTAATTTTCAAGAAGAGGCGTTCCATTGATTCCTTCCGCTCTGCCAACCAAATCCCAATTCACTCGACCATCGACATATCCAAATCATATCGACCCACTGCTACTTCTACTGTTGGTCACGAATCCAAATTCAAATCCAATCGACCACCAATGAATCCAACTTCTTCCCAACTCTTGCTACTAGCCCATCCTACATCATCCCTTCAATTCTCAAGCCTCTCGGCCAAGAACCCAGCTTGCAAGAAGCCCGCTCGCTCCTTGCCTCCATCAATTGTGTTTCCCATCACGGCAGAGGAATCTCCCACTACAACAAAGTTTTCTCCCTCCGATCGTATCCTCGCCGCCGCCTCTTCATTACAGAAGAATACTTTCGTTCAGCGCCACCTCCTCATCGCAACCTAGCGTTCCGTATACTCTCTCTCATCGGAATGTAGAGAGGAATCCAAAGGTAAAATCTAAATCAATTTTGGCTTAATTGATTTTGGCATGAGACAGAAGAATCAAAGAACTAAGAAAAGAGGAAGAATGAAGGAGAGAGGAGAGACGTGAGGGGCAAAAAGGGGGGTGGGATGCATTATTTCAAAATATCACCACCCCCATTGTGTTATTTGTTATAATGCGGTTTTGCGTTTTCTCAAATAATGCGGGGCCCAACAACGTGTTGGAAAAATTGGGGGCCAAACGAGTTATTTCTGCACAAATAACTCATAACGAGTTATTTGGGCCAAAATAATTTGTTAAAAAGGTTCATCCAAACGACCCATAAGAGTGAGTGAAGAAGTGATAGGGAAAAACAGACCATGACCTGGATTCTTCTTAACATAACAAATTATCCTGGTTATTGTCTTCTGATGAAGCAAAGAAGGTCACTCATGAATTGACTTACTTGCTGAGTTGCAAAACTTATATATGAATGAGTGGTGGTAAGGTTAATGAGTTTTCCAACTAGACTTTTGTATGCCGTAACATCAACCTTGTCACTACAATCATTAGTACACAAATGAAACCTATAGTTCATAGGTGTAGTGGCTGGCTTGGGTCCTAAGTGACCTGCTACAGTCAACAAATCTAGTGCATGTTTTCTATGAGAAAAGTCTTTGATGCGGAACGTTTGATGGTGGCATGACTTGATTCTATTGATCTCAGCCAAGTCATCCCCCTCCCCCACAATTAGATCATCCACGTAGATCAAACTAGTTGTACAAGAGGTGTCGTTGATTCTAGTGAAAAAGAGGATGATCTAGAGGACAAGAAATATGACCTTTACTGGACAAACTATCAAAAATCTTAGAAAACCATTGCCTAGAGGCCAGCATGAGTTCATATAGTGATTTGTGAAGTTTGTAGACTAGATTAGGAATATTTGATGGCTGGAAATACTTAGAGGTAAAGCTATGTAGACTTCTTCATATAGATCACCATGCCAAAATTCATTGTTGATATCCAATTGTTGGATGATCCAATTCCTAGCCTCATCAATGGCTAAGAATAACTTGACAGTTGCCCTTTGGACTGTTGGAGCAAAAGTGTCTTGAAAATCAATTCCTCGGTTTGAATATACCGCTTTGCAACTAGATGGGAATTGTGTCTTTCAATATCACCTGTCGACTTATATTCTATCTTGAACACTGATAACACCTAAAATATACATGTTTTGACCAACACTTTTACATCCTAAATTGAACTAAATTGTACTAAATTCACTAGATTTTCCAGTTTTACGCTAGGTTCTGTGTTTGAGTAATATTTCATGGTATTCTATCCAATAAGAACGAAAGAATGAGTCAATTCAGCAAAAATATGGTTAAGGTTGAAAATTTTTCGTTGGTGCAACTCGAGCCCGCGACGTCCTAAGAAAGGGTAAAGAGCCATACTACTTCGTTGCGTCCCCTTTTGTTATCAATATACGAAACCCACCGTTTATTATGGTGATGAATCATGGAAAGAGAGGTGATTAACAATGCATAGTCAAACTACCTTCAGCTAAACTGAAGGAAAATCTATCAAAAGGGCCAACGTGAGGATCAACATAAGCATGTTAACAAATCACGTCAAAGTCAACACACCTTGTTCAAGACCACGTCAACCAAAGTAAAAAGATATCCAAAGGGATAATGTGGGTGGCAGCATGACCATGTCAGAGACTATGTGAACACAAACACAGCGTGCAACACAACAATGTGGAAGACCATGTCAAGAGAAGTCAAGAAGTTGTCAAAGAATTAACGTGTGTAGCAAGATGGGCATGTCATAGACCACATCAACACCAACACACCTTGCAACACGGCCATGTTGAAGACCACATCAAGAGCAGTGAAGTAATTGTCAAAAGGTCAATGTGAGTAGCAACATGGTCACATCAAATACCACATCAACATGAAAACACCCTTCAACGAGGCCATGTTGAAGATCATGTCAATAAAAGTTAAGGAACTTTCAAAGCATCAACATGGGCATCAATACGGCCGTGTTCTAGGCCATGTTGACTGTCAGAATCACGTTTCACATTCATTTTGATGTAGAGATCACATTTATGACCTTGTAGGTCATTGGATCAAACACAGCCTAACAACACGGCCGTGTTGGTTGACCATGTCAACCTTTTCTGCATTTTTAAAGAGGGCAAACGACAGTTTTGTCCACGTACTAGTTGACACGGCCTGGAACACGACTTTGTTCACCGACCACGTTGAGTAAAAAAAGCAACCAATCAAGCTATGCAACACTAACACATCGATCTGGCGACCAGCTGTGAACATGGTATGGAACACAATCGTGTTGCTAGACCACATTGGAGCTGTTGCTGTCTATAAATATAAGCTTGCAAGAGAAGAAAAAACTACACACTACACACCCTACAATTAGACTTTGTTCTTTCGTTCTTGTCTTACAAATTAGCCGATATTCTATCCATATCCATTTGAAACTCTTGTTATTCCCTTTTCGTTCCGTTAATCATATATAGTTAATCCATTTGATAATCATTTGAGGTGGTAGATTGGTTTGTTACCACTGTCTTAGCCCAATGATTATTCCCCCATCAGAAGTTTGTTAGGTGTAATTTATTAGCACTATATATATATATGGCGAGTTCTACGGTACCCTTGGTAAAATCCGGGGTACCGCATATCTTGAGTATGAAAACACTATTTAGACTTTGAATTGATCGATCTTTTGGGCATGATACTATACTCTAACCTTTAAAGATCAAAATCTAGGTCTTCATTCTCCCAATATTATACTCCAATATCAATTTAATTAGAAACAATAATCGACGGTTATGATTCGTCCAAATATAGGCACAAAAAGGAATGCACCATCTTAGGGTTTATAGATTATGATTTAGATAATTAGGATCTAGGGTTCACTCATTAAGGGTTAGGGTATAGTATCAGACCCAAAAATCCTGTTAATTCGAGGTCTAGATACCATTTCCATACTCAAGGTATGCGGTATCCCGGATTTCACCCGGGGTACCGTAGAATTCACCATATATATATATATATATATATATATATATATATATATCTTATTCTCAACCCCGCCGTTCTTGGTCATCAAGATCATCATGGTAATTTCTCAACCTCCATCTTTCTAAACCTCATCAATGTCCAGCTAATCTTCTAGGTGTTCCAGATTTGATGAACCCTAATATCTTTTGTATGAATTGAGTGGTATCTTTGATATAAACATGTTTTTCTCGTTCGTACAATCTTTTCTCGACTTATCATGTGCAAGTATCAATAGTATGCATCTATTCTATATTTTGTCTGATACATGTAAATGAGACTACGAGCTAATTGTGCATGTTAGATCTCTCGTGAAAAGAAGGAATTGATCAGGGCCACCAGTGATGGGGTCATGTAGTTCCTCTAGATTAGCTTAAAAAGCTAATATGTGAATTCATAAACCTAGTTAATGCTTTGGTTGAAGATTCTTGTATGCTACGGTTTCACTTGATTCTTAAAGTCGAAAGGGTGTTAATACAGGTGTGAATGGGTTAACACTGAATTGAGAATTTTCACGGTCTAAGATTTGAACACCCATCTATGTTGAAATCAATTTGTTTGTAAAATGCATGTTAGGGGGATTCACTTTCGGGACAACGCTTTCTCCTCTTGATTTTACTTTGAAATTGTTTAATTGTGCTTTTATTATTGCATGTGTGATTATATCTTAAAAATCAACTAAAAACGATTGACTAGATAATAGATAAAAGCTCAGTAATAGTAGACGAAGTCTTTGAGGATACGACCTTGCTACCTACTATACTACCTTAGAAAGATAGGTACCCTTGCCTATTTTTCCTATGTTAGTTAAGGGCCTCAAATACTCATTTGCAGCCTATCATTTTATGTCATAGAGATAAAGAAACAATGCTCCAGATTCCATTTTCACCTGTGTAGTGATCTCATCCCAAACCTTATGTTGTATAGCTTGCTCATATGCTAGCTGGCTCTCTATGAGCATAAATGGATAGGACAAAATATTTTTGGGAAGGATAAAGTTTAGTATCAGTAAAAAATGATCAATGTGATACCTTTCTTCCTTGAAGTTTTGGGACATGTCTGAGATGTAAAGAGATGTGGTATGCGGTGAACCAAGTGCTCACATTCATAGTGAGTTAAATGAAAAAAATGTTTGCTGACCCTGGGGGAAGAACTAGAAAAGGACCTAAATGACTACAGACAAGAGGAATGTCAGTGCTAGAAGGAATATTGAGTCTATGGAGGACTCTCGCCATCACTGTTAAAGTCAAAGGAGATTGGAGAAGTGATTATCCTCTCATATTGATCTTGGGGAATGTAATCATAACCATCACCAGCAAAAAATGGGAATCCACTTAGAAGTGACAGGATTGATGCTTCCAGAAGGAGACATGGAAGACATCATGAAGGGAAAGGTTGATTAATGGAAAATGACATCTCCAGAGTGAAAATGACATCATGGAGGGAAAATTTTGTTCTGATATTTAGAAGTGTAGAGGAAAAGCAAGCCAACCAAACACCTTGAGAAAACTAAGATATGGAGGTTTGATGTGAAAAAGTTCACAAGGAAAAACATCTCCCATGATATGAGAGATTGTCTTATTGATCAAGAAAACAACATGTTTGACACAGTCTGACCAAAATTCAAGTGGCAATATATGTGACTCGTCCCAAATACCACAATAATTTCCCGCCTAAGGTCCAAGTATAAACCTTAGTCAGTTGCAGTACAAGATAAGTATGTTTAAATATCCACCCGGGTCGGTCCGTCTACCTCTACTTCAGTCATTTGAATCATTATCTAGCAATAAAGTTTTGGTTGAAAAGTTTTCTAATTATAGTAAAACATGACAAAGGTGAATGGTTTTGAAAGCTCTTTTGTGGAAGGATCACTCGGGTGTCGCTTCTCCCAAT